CTGCACTTATCAATCCATCCCATCTCCAAATCGCACCTTTTTCTTTAAATCCAACACCATCAATTGCACCAACCCAAAATATTGAAAAAACCAAAACAATTGAAGCCAAAACTCCACCTATAGAAACATAAGCCAATAAACTTAAACTTTTCAACCATGTTGTTGGCAATATTACAACAGCAACTAATAAAACAAAAACTTCCCTTCCAACAATTTTAACCCAACCAACATGAATTTTTGCATTTGGGAATAATTTTTGCAAGTTGTCACCTTCTAATATGAGGAATTCAATTGCAACTAAGTATAGTTCAAGATATAAAAAAATTGAAATCAAGATTCTTCCTTTGTTACCAAAAGCAAATTCACCAATATCAGGATATGTCTTAATTGATGGTGAAACACTCATGCATTTTTGCAAAAGTAATCCTGTGTAACAACATATAATTGCTACCAAAAAAAATAGCATCAAACATAACCATCCTCCTTGTGAAAGTGCATAGGGTATTGATATTATTCCAATACCTATATGATAGAAAAATAAAAAAATTAGCCTAAGTTTTATATATCAAGCTCGTAAATATTTATACAGTTATGTGATAAGCATAGATAAGATGATAGAAATAATAATTAGTAACAAAGTACTAATTAATAACGTAAAAAATGTTAACTTTATCGATGCATATTACTTCAATTAAGCTATACAACAATATATTCCGTGAAATCTTACAAGTGGAATCTGGAAAAGATATTTGGTGTACATACAACATTATCCTATGCCCTATGAAGATAGAAAGCATTGTTTTCGCTAGACTCTCGACTAAAGTGAAAGGATAGTAAAACAAGGACAAGAGAATACCAAGTTCTATCAATAAATTATAATAGGATAGTAAAAGAAATGTTTACTCTGTTGGTGCATATATTTCAATTCAAGTATTATACAACAATATATTTAATGAAATTTCATAAGTGGGGTCTGGAGAGGGTATTTGGTGTATATATACAACCTGATCCCTATCCTGTGAAGGTAAAGAGGTTGTTTCAGATAGACCCTCGACTCCAGTAAAGCATAACAAACAAAAAAGAAAAGAGTATACTAGTAGCACCAACAAATAATACAATAACTGAAACAAAGAAATTAATTGGTATTGACACCCATTTTTGATCTAACATTTTCAAAATTTATAAATTTTAAGTTTTATTTATTTAATTCTTCAAAATACATTTTTTCTAATATTAAATAAATTTATCGATAAGTATCTTTATTTGTAAAAAATTAAAAAATTTTATTAGTTAATTTTAATTACATCATATTTTGTCACAATCGATTGAATACCTTCAAATATTTGTTTATTTTGATTAAATTGTTATATCTGTTAAATTGTACTTTTTACATGTCGTTACTTACGTTCATTATTTTTTTAATATTCACTTTTATTCATCACATTTACTAATATTAATTTTGATATTTTGCAACGTCTAGAAATTCATTCAAATATAAAAATGATTTCATATACAAATATATTATTTAACTCGTGATTTCAACTCATTATTTTAAGATAATAATATCGTAATATAGGTGGTTTTGGATTTTCTATATAAACAATAGCTTATTTATTAAATCAAGGGGGTGAATAATATTTTAGACTAAGTGGTGAAAAATTCCAAAATGTGAGAACCCTAAGAGATTTTTCTATGATCTTCTAAAAGCTGCCGCCACCCTCCTTCCTCTATCACCACTCTCCCATTGTTGGAGGAGTTGTTTATGGTTAGTTATTTTGTTTTAAGTTGCTCAAAGTTTGTTTTAGTGATCCTTTTTTTTAAACTTCGTTCTAAGATTGTTGACAGAAATTTAAAGTGATTTTTTTAAATGCCACCAACAAGGAAAATTAGAAAACATAATTATTTACTAAAATTTTTATGCTAATTCTTGACCTCCGTATCCTTCAATCTTGGATCATATTTTCAATAGGCTAAATGATTATGACTTATTTCTACTTTTGAGGTGTCTTGAAAAATAAAACAAATAATTAGATGTTTACCTGATAATGCATTAATACCATTGAAACATGTTCTAGAGAAAGAGGTTCCTTTATTAGGCTCCAAAATTTGTGTTTCAATACTCTCCACACTACGGGATTCCATATTTTTTGAGTGCTTCAAAATGCTAATTTATATATTGGGTTTTGGCAGATTTGTCTAGGATAAAATAATTATTCTACATATATGTTTTTAGTTATTAATTCAAAATCCAATAACTAAAAAGCTAGATTTGATCTCAAACTTATACATCCACTACTTATATATAAGTATGGATGACCACACAAGTGACAGTTGACGTGCCTCCTGTGTGGTTCTACACTTGCATATACATTTCCTTTTTTTTTCTTCGTCTAATTTATTTGTCTTATATTTAACTTTTATAATATTTTTAAAAATTGCATTAAAAAATAGTATAAATCATGTTAATTAATAACTTAATTGTTAAAAAAAAACATATAAAAATTGATTGATTATTAAAAAATTCGATTGATTCATAAAATTAATCTATCTACGTCACATATCTACTACTTATATATAAGTATGGATAACCATATACGTGACAGTCTACGTGCCTTCTTCACCTGTGTGGTTCGCTCGAATCCAACAATGATCTTTGAGTTCCGGTCATGTCCAGGGTGAAAGCTCGGAGCATGACAATTTTTTCATAACTACAATGCCATTGAAACCTTTGAATTTATAAAACGCTGGTTGAACGTGTCTTGCATGTTTAACCTTTGTTATTATATAAAATTTAGATAGGCCTACTTATGTATAAAAACATGTGTAATATCAAACCCAATTAACTTTAAAAAAATAATAAAATATATTTGTACTTATATTTACATTATTATTTTCTTTTCATATATTAAATGACGAATCTAAAATTGTTGTGAAATTAGTTTTAGCTGTAGAATTTGTTGAGAGTCGATGTCCTATTGCACTTTGGGACAGAAATCCTATTAGGCGTAGAAGTTCAATTTGAAAGTCATGCCTTAAATGTTTATTTATATAAGACTTTTTCCTACTATTTTAAAGGAAACAATTGTAAACCTCTTTTTTTTTTCATAACTATAATGTCATTTAAACCTTTGAGTTTATGTCATACTAGCTCTAAAAATGTGTGTTGCACGTTTGACCTTTATTATTACGCTAGAGGGGACATGACCAAATATCTTGAATATTTTTAGACAACTCAATCATAAAGAAATGGAAATTAAATAGTTTTTCCATATATATATGGTCTGCTGCAAAATTTTACACTGAATTTGAATGTTTCAGTTCCAACCATTTCAAAGAAGATTAAAACTATCAAATATCAACCAATAACCATTGGACTGCAACATAGCAACAATCACAATTAAGATTTGTACAAAGTAGTAGTCAAAACACAGTCCAAAAGCAATGAAGCTTATCCTGGACTCTCTAAGTTTTTTCATCCATCCAAGATTTGCAAAACCTCTCAATCTATTTCAATAATAAGTGAAGAAAAATAACTTTCTGAGTACTCATACCTCATAAGGTTATTCTAGATTTTCATGCTAGTAACATCAAGATCTAGAAGTTCATTTATGTAAATGAAATAAAGTGAAATATTATAATAAAAAATTGATAAATCTCTCAAGTAAAATAACTTTTACGAAGAAATTTGAGGGAACCATATTCTCCTAAGGTAACTTGTTGTTCTTCGGGCATGAAAAAACATTCCAAGTCTCCAAGAAAGCAAAATCAGAGCAAACAATCAATGACAAAGTACATACTTAAATGTATTAACATGTAAAAAAGCTACGCAATTAACCATTTCAAATGAAAAAAAAAGAAGGTGAAATATCATAGAAGAAGCTATGAAGATAAAATTTTCATTAATAAAAGGCATTTTTGCTATGGAAACTAGTATGTATACTAAGAGGAATTATCATAGATGAAACTTTCAATGCGCTCCAACATTTCAACTTTCTTCTTTTAAGGTTATTACATTGAATTTTTTTAATTATATATTATGCACTAATATGATTGTGACGGACAAAACTCGTATGAAACTCCATTTATTTTCAAAAAAATGTCCCAAACTCCTCTTTCTCTCTCTTTCTTCATAACGTTTTTACCCCCTCTCTCTCTTTAAACATTGTTCCAAATTTTGCACTTTAATACTTTAATAAATTTATTAATGAAAAATATGAAATCCAAAACTTTTTGCCTAATTCATTCTGTTTCAAACATTTTGGCATTATTTTTCTATCTCGATATTAATTATTTATATTGCTAAAAATAATTATAAATAAAATTATTTGTTAATTTACAAATTAACATATAATCAATTACAAAAGTTCTACTTTATTATAGCAATTAATTCCTTTCAAAGTATGAATAAACTTCATAAAGTTTAAAAAAATAAATAATAACGGTGTTAATTAGTAAAATTATTATTTTATATATGATTTCTTTATAAGAAATTTGTAAAAGAAAAAATAGACTATTAACATGAAAAATAAAGAAGGTATAAAATTTAATTTATTCTTTTATTCTCCTCTCAACAATTTCATGTTCTCAAAAGAACTTAAATCTATCAAATACTTTTCAATAAGAAAATATAACGTAAAAAGCATCAATAATCTTGACAAACAATTACATAAATTTTAATATTATTTTCACGAAATTCAAAAAAGAAAGATATCCATAAACACCTACATAAATACATAATTCATTCGTCAATTTATAAGATACTTTTTATTCCTAAAATTGAATGTAGGCAAAATTTAATAAATATTTTGTTTATCTATTTACATGTTTCTTGGGAAAATATAAATAGAAAAAGATAGTTTTATTAATTTATTACTTAAAAAAAATCAACGATTTTATAAATTTTATTTATACTCTTAATAAAAAATAATTGCTAGGATTAAAAGTTACTTATATCTTGATTTTATAAACTGAAAATTAAATACAAACAATTATTGATTATAATATAAATAAATAACATGGAATAGAAAAAATATATTAAGATAATAAAGTAAAACCTTATACAATGATCATAAAAATTTAAATAAGGTTTCACTACATAAAAAGAAACATAACTAATTAGATTAGTTAAGAATGAAAAATACATCAAAAAAATATGGAATCAAAAAGTATATTTAACTAATGGTAAAACAAAACAAAAGAAATGGTGGAGAAGGCTTATAGGTGTTGTCATTTGGCAAATGTGGCTCATCTAATGTCTTTTTATCAATTATGACTTAACATGCTTCACACGTAATAAAATTTTTTGGAGAAACAGAAAGGCCTAAGCAATTGAAATGTACAACTGGTATAATGGAAGCTAGATGTGAAACCAAAGTTAAAAAAGATAGACACGTGTCTTCTCAAAAATGAAAATCTGAGTTTGCAATTGAACGACACAATACACATATATCTTATACAATTAAGAGTAAATAAATGCATTTACTAAATTCAGTTTGTTTCTACTACAATTTGCACTACTTTTTGTAC